CCTGAACAAAATATTAGCAAATCGGATCCAGCAATACATCAAAAAAAATTATTCACCATGACCAAGTGGGATTCATCCCAGGGATGCAAGGCTGGTACAATATTCACAAATCAATAAATGTGATACACAACTTAAACAAAATGAAGAATAAAAACCACATGATCATATCAATAGATGCTGAAAAAGCATTCAACAAAATCCAGCATCCATTTCTGATAAAAATGCTCAGCAATGTGGGAATAGAGGGATCATATCTAGACAGAATAAAGACCATATATGAAAGACCTACAGCCAACATCATACTCAATGGGCAGAAACTAAAAACATGTCCCTTAAGAACAGGAACAAGACAGGGATGTCCACTTTCGCCACTCTCATTTAACATAGTACTGGAAGTCTTTGCCACAGCAATCAGACAGGAAGAAAAAATAAAAGGGATCCAAATTGGAAAGAAGGAAGTGAAACTGTCATTATTTGCAGATGACATGATATTATACATAGAAAACCCTAGACTCCATCAAAAATCTACTAGACTTAATAAATGAATTTGGCAAAGTAGCAGGATACAAAATTAACATCAAGAAATTGATGGCATTCTTATACACCAGTGATGAACTCACAGAAAGAGAAACTGAAAAAACAATCCCAGTTACCATCATGGCAAAAAAATTAAGATACCTAAGAATAAACTTAACCAAAGAAGTAAAGGACCTATTTGCAGAAACCAACAGGACATTGAAAAAAGAAACAGAGGAAGACATTAAAAAGTGGAAGCACATACCTTGTTCATGGATTGGAAGAATTAACATCATTAAAATGTCCATACTACCTAAAGCAATCTATAGATTCAATGCAATCCCCATCAAAATACCAATGACATACTTCACAGAACTAGAACAAATACTTTAAAAGTTTATATGGAACCAAAAAAGACTCCGAATAGCCACAGCAATTTTGAAAAAGAAGGACAAAGTAGGTGGGATCACAATACCAGATATCAGGTTATACTACAAAGCGACTGTAATCAAAACAGCCTGGTAGTGGCACAAGAACAGGCATATAGACCAGTGGAACAGAATAGAGAACCCAGAAATGGACCCAAGGCAATATGCTCATTTAATATTTGACCAAGGTGGCAGAGCATACAGTGGAGTAAAGACAGCCTCTTTAATAAATGGTGTTGGGAAAACTGGACAGCTACATGCAAAAATATGAAACTAGACCATCAACATACACTATACACAAAAATAAACTCAAAATGGATAAAAGACTTAAATGTGACCCGTGAATCCATAAAAATCCTAGAAGAAAATGTAGGCAACAAAATTTCGGACATCATATGGAGCAGAATTTTCACGGATACATCACCTAAGGCAACAGAAACAAAGGACAAAATGAATACTTGGGACTACATCAAACTAAAAAGCTTCTGCACAGCAAAGGAACAACCATTAAAACTGAAAGGCAACCCACTGTATGGGAGAGCATAATAGCCAATGATACATCAGATAAGGGGTTCATTTCCAAAATATATAGAGTACTCGTACAACTCAACAAAAAGAAGACAAAGAACCCAATTTAAAAATGGGCATCGAAGCTGAATAGACACCTCTCCAAACAGGACATAAAAATGGCCAAGAGACATATGAAGAAATGCTCAACATCACTAATCATCAGAGAGATGCAAATTAAAACAACTATGAGGTATCACCTCACACCTGTCAGAATGGCCGCCATCAACAAATCATCAAACAACAAGTGTTGGCGAAGGTGTGGAGAAAAGGGGACTCTAGTGCACTGCTGGTGGGAATGCTGACTGGTGCAGCCACGATGGAAAACAATATGGTCTTACCTCAAAAAATTAAAAATTGAACTTGCACTTGACCCAATGATCCCGCTTCTAAGAATATACCCTAAGAAGCCTGAAACACCAATCAGAAAGAATATATGTACCCCCATGTTCATAGCAGCACTATTTACCATAGCTAAGATCTGGAAACAGCCCAAGTGTCCATGAGTAGACGAATGAATAAAAAAGCAGTGATACATATACACAATGGAGTACTATGCAGCGGTAAGAAAGAAAGATCTCTTATCCTTTGAGACGACATGGAGGGACCTGGAAAGTATTATCCTAAGTGAAACAAGCCAAGCAGAAAAAGACAAATACTACATGATCTCACTTATATATGGAATATAATGAATATAACAGACTGAGGAATAGGGTAGACCCAGAAACAAAGAAGTAGGGTACAGACTGACAACCCTCAGAAGAGGGGATGGTGGGGGGTGGGAAGAGATAAACCACAGAATTTATATTCATGTATGCATAACCAATGAACATGGACAACAAAGCCGGGGACAGGGTGGGGAGGATGGGGAGGAGTGTGTCAATGGGGTGAAAAAGGAGAAACATCTGTAACAAAAATAAAATACAATAAATAAATAAAATTTGAAGAAATAAAAATAAATAAAATGTAAAAAAAATAAAAGTCAATCTTTTACAAACTTCCACTCTCTAACCACTAACGATTTATATGTAAAATACCACACAACTGTCATGAAACTTCTATTGAGAGACCTGATTTAGAAGGTAAAAGTATAAAAGCATAGAATAAGATCTGGCTATGATTTTTGTTCTGCCACTACTAGCTGTGTGACCTTAGGCAAATTGTGTAACTGTTCTGAGCTTTATGCTCTCATTTTCTTTATGGTATTGAAGAATTGATTGGCTTGGCATTTAAAAGCACAGGGCAGGCAAGCACTACACGGTGGCCATTGGGCCCTCGTGTAGCTAACTGAGGATGCCCGTGCCCTGTTGGTAAGATTTTCACAAGGAAGTAATGTGTGCAGTGGAAGGGAACTTGATGAGGAGAGTTCTCCTTCCATCTCAAGCATTAACCTGCAGAACCCATTTCTTCTCAAAGCCCAGCTGCTATGTTTTTGAGTGTTTATGTCTTCTTTTTATAACTTTGTTAAACTGTCAGATGTTACATCTTTAAAGCACTTTCCCCCTCTTTAAAGTTGCTGCCATAATGTGTTCTAAGCCAAGGAAATTCGATTCAACTCAACACAACTCATTAAACATTTTGGAGGGTCATTTATTAGTCACCCAGAAGCAGAAAAAGGTATTGGATTGTGACCAAACCAAAGTAAAACAGCTTCCTCTGAGGTAATCTGTGATGAGGTAAATAGACAGTTTACAAATACCTATGCTATGGACACCAGAGTAACAGACAACAAAATAATCACAATAAGGATTCCTGGCCCCTCTCCAGACTTCTGAGTCAGAATCAATAGGAGGGGTGTCCGGGAATCTGTTTACTTGTTAGTTTTCCAATTCAACACATCTTTCAGGATTCTAGAGACAAATAATAGGAATTTCATAGCTAACATAAAAAGGAGAATGAAACACAAGCAAGTGACCAATCATAAAATGGAGGTTCTGTTTTCAAACATTCCCATGAGGTGATTCTGGTGCTCAACCAGATATGGGACCCAGTGGCCTTCAGAACCATGGAATGGATCACTGATAAGAGCTGAGGGGATAGCCAATGTGAGCATTCCATCATATTATATAATGCTGCAATATCTTAGCTATTGTGAATAATGCTGCATTAAACACAGGTGTGTGTGTGTGTGTGTGTGTGTGTGTATCTTTACAAATAAGTGTCTTTAAATTCTCCAGGTAGACACCCAGAAAGATTGCTGGGTCATATGTATGGTAGCTTTATTCTTAATTTTTAGGGAACCTCTAGATAAGAACCATACAATTTCACTCATATATGGGATATAAAACAAAAGGCAACAAACAGACAAAGAAACTCACAATTACCCATAACCGTGTGGTGTTTACCAGAAGGGGAGGGCAATGAGGAGGACTAAGAGGGTAAAGGGGATCAAATATATGAGGACGGAAAGAGACTAGACTTTGGGTGGTAAGCACACAGTAGAGTATACAATGTCATATTATAAAGTCTTACCTCTTAAATTTATATAATGTTATAAATCAATGTTCCTCCAATAAATTTAATTTTTAAAAAATTACACATTCTGGACTTCATCAAAATTAAAAACTTTGTGCTTCAGTGGACAAAGATGACACCCTTTATTTTCCTGGTTCTCTCCCCATGGTCCCCAGCATCCAACCAGGGGTCAAGTTAGAAAGGTTGCCTTCATTTGCTATTTTTATCTCTCCCCCAAGACCTAATGCAATTAGTCACCAAATCTAAATAACTGTACATCCTACTCTCGGTCCTCACTGCTGCTTCCTTAGTGCAGGACCCAGCCCCTCCACTGGTGGCGGACAGAACCCAACCAGCCTTGCACCTCTGGGCAGATCGCGCTGCCTTGTTCTCAGCTGTAGCCCAGGACCCAGCACCAGAAACCATTAAATATTAGTTGAGTAAATGGCCAAATAAAATGGAAAAGAAACAGAATATTAGAATTTGTGATATGATAGTAAATGGAGTTTGACATTAATATTCATCAAATTAATGACACAAGTGTTAGAGGTGAAACATCAAATGGATGATGAAATCATAAATAGTAAGCAACCCAAGGAATCATTTAAAAAAAAAACAAATCATGTTGGACAAACATGAATTGTGGTGAAAATAGCATCATATATATTATACATTTCATTTCTTAAATTATGTTTGTCACATTGTGTTATTAGGAACATCCTTGTGAAATTGGGGCAAACTGACCTATTTGAACATACACAGCATGAAAAGCGACAAATAATGGAAATGGCAGGGAATATGCAAAGACAAAGTTCCAGGAAATCATTGCTCTTTGTGCAAATCTTCACAAAGTGATGAAACCATGATACAGTCGAGGTTTTAAGATTGAAATTTTTTATTACTCCCATGTCACTGGTCACGGAAGAGAAAAACTCTACCCCTTTCCTATTTTCCATTGTTGGCCTGAGATTATGGGTCAAGACATCTAAAATACTTGACTCTATGATGAATGTTGACTTATATGGAGATACTTACCCAAAGCCTACAGCCACCCAGTAGTTTCTGATGCCCTGATGGGGACCCACCATAGGCAGAATGTCGGGAGAATAGGTGATAGGACCATTGACGATGTTGATGATGTCAGCCTTTTTCAAGACTGGGACCATGTCCATGGCAGCTTCGACGTGTTCCATGATCCGGTCCAGATCAGACTCGAAGAGCTCCTTTCCAAAGCCTGAAAGGACATGCCACGGAGACCAGGATGCCACGGCTGCACTGACCAGTATTCTGAAGGGATCTAAGTCTCTGAATCCACTTTCCCTTCAAGGTGGCCTGTTAGGACAGTGCTTCCTCTTTCCTTTGTTAAGTCTGCCTTGAGATTCACTATCACCAGATGAATACCCATGATATGACTGAGAACAATAATCTTATTTCTTATAACAAAATCATGAACGTTAACTTTTTTCTAATTAATAGAAAATTCAAATGTATACATGTTAACAGTTCTTGGCATTTAATCCAATCACAATTTTGAAAACCAAACGGCAGCTATTTGGTTTGTTAAGAGAGATGTTTTTATCCTTCCATGAGTCATAAAATCTGCTTCATCCACCCCGGTGAGGGCAAATGGGAGTTTACTACATGTCAGGACTGGGGCTAAGTGGAAAACTACTCTAGGATCTGAGATGATGGACTCTCAGCAGGGAAGGAGTGGCATGGAGGCCCCCTCCCATACATATCCAAGGGCTTAGAGTATAGTCATCTTCTCAGTCTATAAGGTGCTGGGAATGAAGGCAGGGCCACAGATGACCTTCTAAAGGACATTTCCACCGATACTGATGATTTTCCCATGCAACTGCCAGCCAGCTTCCTCTTGTTCCTCCCTGGGCTGCACGTTGGGTCAGTGGCACTGAGACCTGTAGATCAGGAGGACTGGACCAGGACATTGGGTGCTCAGAGCCAGCCAACAGCCTCGCTTTCTCTCCAACTGCGATTATTTAAATATTTGTTCAACATTTACTTGGAGGAGAGCAGCCAGCAGGGGACAGAGCAAAGAAGGAGGCTCTCAGGCAGCAGATCAGCCTTCCTCTGGGGTCAGGAGTTATTCTGCTCAAGCCCAAATGTGCACAGCCCACTCAGCAAAACAAAAGCCCTCAGGTAACTGGCCCAGCTTCTGTTGAAGGTGGTCTAGTGATCACCTGGGCACAGGTGCTTTTTGAGGACTAGGCAGGAAAGATCAGTCGCTGTCTCAAGTAGCTAATCCAAGTATAATTCTACAAAGTATAAATTCCTCCACTTCTTTATATCCCTTATAATAATTCAGTGTTCCTATGACATTTTAGCCTCTTTCATAGTTTTAATAAAACCTGAGCAACCTTCTTAGTTGACCCAATCTTTCGACACTGTAGAAATGTTTCATGAAAAACAAAAGCAGGTCCTTTTCCCTTAGAGAACTGGAAAGAGAAACTATCGTACCTCCTGCTTTAGCACAGAGGCCTGAGCCCTTTCCTTCCCTGCTTACACAGTAGGTGGGCTTCAGCGTGCAGTCCTAACCCAGCCTGCTCGGAGCTGGACTCCACGGCTTTTATTCTTAGCGGGCTGGATGTCCTGTCTCTGATATCTGTCATGGTTCCAACTGTCCAAGCACAATAGCAGCTCTATCCAAATCTGGAAACTGGACCCAGCAGGAGGGGAAGTGAGGAAAGAGCGGGGATGCAGGAGGTGGGTGTGGGTGGGTAAGAAGTACCGAGTGGGGAGCACATTTCTTCAGCTTCTCTACCACCAATGGCCTCTTCCCTCTTTCCTTATTCCCTGCTGTGATCATTCAAAGGGATGAAAAAACAGAGCTAACCTCAAACCCCTCACCTCCAACATGCCAGGCATCCCACAGTCTAATATTATTGCATCATCTTATTCTATGCCAGCCCCTGGCCAGAGGGAAGCTAACACATACATGCCTGATATACACACGGTTCCATTTGCTAAACTTACCTGGAGGGACTCCACTGGTGACCCACGAGTCCTGAACTTTCATTTTCTCCTGACTTTCATATGGACCAAACAAGAGCCCATCCCGTTCCTGTCGGAGGTAGTACGACCCTTCCAGATCACGGAGCACTGGGAGCTCTCGGTTCAAAGCTTTTACTTCCGGGATAGTTGAAGTAACAACATATTGATGCTGAACAGGAATGAGAGGATGTTCTAGTCCAACCATCTTACCTACTTCACGGGCCCAAAATCCTTAAATAAAAAATCGTTGTTAAATGTCACATATATAAACATACCATATCTGAAACTGATAACTCCAATTTATATTAGCATAAAGTAGGTAAAAGACTTCAGTACTCATGGCGGTCTAAAGAATGCCATAACATTGTTTTGGTCATTGCAAAATCGAGTGGGCAGAACACAAGACAGTATTGTACATTGCCCAGAGTTTTTAAGATAATTCTGTAATCTAAGGGAACTCTATTCCTAAAAATGTATTTTGCCCATAAGCAAAGGTGGGCAGAAAAAAAATTGAAGAAAAAAAAAACAAACAATCCAAATATGGAAAATGTACCAATGTTGTTAAGAAAGACAGTAATGAACTGACCGTACTTGTAGGACAGGGATGACCAGGCATGGAAGAGGCCCCATGTTGGTATAGTCAATGCAAAGCATCATAATCCTGAATAAAGCCCTTGCAAGTCAGTTCCCTCTGTTCCCCAGGTCCTCCTGTCCCCAAACTATGGATGACTAAAATTCCACAAATACAGAATTGTTCTGTTAACTTAAAATTTGAAAATGTATGTAGTTGGGGAGAGAGCGCACATTAAATGTTCTCTGTTATTTTAAAAGTTTGGTTTGAATATGTTTGTAAGATCCTTCCTTGCAAAGGGCACAAAGGTACCCAGAGTCCAGGGGCAGGCGGGAAGAGGAGAGAGCTCATACATAGTGGGGTCCCCACCCCGAGGTTTCCCACTTCACAGTGCGCATGGAGACTGTCTTATTGGTAGGAATGAATGTGATTTCTTTCCTTTGCAAACGATGGAACCAGATAATGCGTGGATGAAAAGAACTTTGACTCCCCCTGGTGACTCCTCAGTATACAGATGGGGAGCTAAAGTGCAGAGAGGGAAACCGACTTGCCCAAGGTCACACCCTGGACTGCTTTTCTTACTACAGAAATTCTTTGTTTTAAAAATCCAAGACTTCTTCACTTGTATAAAGGTAGTTTAGAATGTAAAGTGATAAAAATGATTATTCATCAGTGATATGGTGCTGCCTCACCCACTAGTGGCTTGATGGGGGCGGGGGGTAGGGGGGCTCTAAACGCTTGTTTGTTCATGATGTTGAGTAATCATTCAAATGACTGGGTAACCTTATTTAAGTTACTTCTTTGGAGGTTTCACTCTCTAAATTTTTAAGCATTTGTATTTCTGCTGTTTTCAGAATCCAATAGGAACTCTGAAGTCTCTATCATTATAAAGTTCAGAGCTAGACACAAAACCATCAATTATGAGTCAGTCAGGGAACCCAGATTATGTACACTATGTGCCAAAGTTTATTTCTGTTTAGTCATCTAACCATCACTCTTGTGTTCTGTTGCTATGTTTTGGCCTAATGGCTAAGTTGGTCACACTTGTATAATAGCCCCAGAAATGAGTATCCACTTATAAACAAAAAAATCTTACCTGTGGGCATTAAAGCTGTTTGTTGGTCTTTTAATCATTTAGAGACAATTTATTCATGGTGGTAGGATGTGAATTACAATGTCAGGATTTTGTTGGAAAATACAGTAAAGCTGCATATTCTACTTATATGCATTAGAGGAGTTTTAAAATATAAAAAGCCCAAATAGTTAGCCTAGCAATGCAAAGCACTGCAATATCCTCAATATATTTGTTTCAATTAAAAGCATAAATTGAATAAAATAAATTCTGTCCCATTCAAACATATTTACAAATTTGAGGCTAGTTGCTTGCTTATTAATGCACTTCATCATTGAAATAAAGTGGAAACGTATGCTTAAATATCATGTAACTATATTACTTGAAACCCAATGGAAAACTCTGTGCTGTTTTACCCTATGGTGGTGGTATTTGCTGGCATTCTCTCCTCTACATGTCAGTCAAGTTAACCTAAATCTAGCCAGGATTATACTTCAACCCCTGTTAGATCACCCATCTGCCAAGTACAAAGGGAAGAGAGACAATTGTGGAGGAATCATCTAAAAAAGATGCCAGTATCACCTGAAAAACACTGATGAGAAGAGTCAATAAAAATGATCATTGGAAGTGGTTTCCATTTTTAAAAAATTTTGTGATTGCCCTGGCCAGTTGGCTCAGCAGTTAGAGCGTCGGCCTGTGGTCCAGAGAGACCTGGGTTCGGTTCCCACTAAGGGCACGTACCTCAGTTGCAGTTTGTCCCCGGCCCTGGTTGGTCGTGTGGGTGGCAGCCACTTGATGTGTCCCTTTCACGTGGATGTTTCTCTCTCTCTCTCCCTCCCACTCTATCTGAACAAAAAAATGGAGAAAATTGTCCTTGGGTGAGGGTAAAAAAAATTTAAAAAAATTCCGTGATTTACGAAATGGAGTTAATATGAAGGGTACAGATTTGTGGACAAGTTTACTGGTACCAGGGTTTATATAGTGGCACTGATGGTTTATACAATGACGTTCACTGATGCCGAGTATCAGGCAAAATTAAGCAATTCTTTTTGGCTGAACACTGGGCTTCATGTTAGCATGATCCAATCACATTCTGATTTATCATATCAGGAAAATTCTTAAGTAAAGTTTACATAGTTATCTCAGGCGTAATGAGGCAATTGGAAAGGAGGTCAAGAGAAACACTCATCACTGTGCAAGGAAAAAGCTTGTATCATCATGAACAGCTGCTGCCCCTGACAAGAGGGATAAAACGAAGGTAGAATAAAGCAGTTTTTAAAGCAATACTAAAGGCAAGTTAGCCTACTGCACACCAAGAGCTCAGGAGCGTCGGGAACTGTTCTTCAGCTCTGCTTTCTTAAGAATGAGGAGACTGCCTGACTGTTGGGGCTCAGTGATTGAGCATCGACCCATGCACCAAGAGGTCACTGGTTTGATTCCTGGTCAGGGCACATGCCCAGGTTGTGAGCCAAATCCCCAGTGGGGGACATGTAGGAGGCAGCCAATCGATGTTCTCTCTCATCGATGTTTCTATCTCTCTCTCCTTTCCTCTCTTCGTAAAATCAATAAAGAAAAAAATTTAAATTAAAAAAAGAATGAGGTTACTTCCTTCTCTCTCCTGTAGGGACACCCATATAGTAGTGTTCCTCACAGCATACTTTGCAGATCATCTGGTACAGACCATACTGTTCCGGAGGTACTCGTTTAAAACACAGTGTCCCACCAAGAACACCTGAATTGGAATAATTTTGAAATCTGGGAACCTAGCTTTTTGGGGAAGTCAATTTATCAGCAGAATGGGTGCTGGTTGAACATAGAATAAGTAAAAGAATTTGAGTAATCTTAAGGCTATAGTACCCTGATGCTAGTGTCTCCCAGACCAGGGCACAGACTTTCAGGGAAATAATATCTTATTTCTTTGCCACTTGAAAAACAAAAAAACCTCATTAATTTTTAAAACTCCTCAAACAGAAGGTTTATGCAAAGAAATCTTAGATATGGGGGGCACAGGTAGAAGGGTACTGAAATCACTTACCTGCAGCATTCACAATTCTATTTGCTCTCATAGAGCCCTGTGGTGTTTCAACATCCCATGTTCCATCTGACCTGGGTTTCAGAGAAGTCACTGGTGCAGGATATTTTAACAGGGCCCCATATTTCCTAGCCCCAGCAGCCAAGGCCATAGTTAGAGAGTAAGGATCAATGTGACCATCTCCAGGATTATACAGTCCAGCTAAAATCTAAATCAATCATTAAAAAAATCAATATTAAAATAAGTATGTATTTATTATTCAGTGTAACTATATCCTGCCAGCAAATGTTTAATAAAACTGGACTTGAAAAATGCACGAGAGCATCAGATTGATCAGTCTTTTTCCTGTATCAAAGCTCAGCCTTTGGCAGGACTCACACTGAGAGCTACGTGGACAGGCTATCTTGAGGGAGACCTGCAATTGTCTCCAATATCCATACTCTCCCTCCCTTCATATAAATAGAAATGGAATGTTTATTTAGACACATAGTTACTAAGAACAAAGAGTTACCAATAGTTGGCAGCTATTAGTTCCAGTTGATAGATGAAACTATTATTAGTTCTAGTCAATGAAATGCAAATGGAAGGGTCATGTGGCAGCTTCCACAAACCACTATAAAACCAAAGACAACGGGTGTATGCCCTTTGTCTCCCTTCTTCTTTGTCCCTTCCTCCATCTCCCACCTGGAATGCAGACATGATGGCTGGAGCTCTAGCTGCCATTTAGAGTAAGAACATAAAAGTCATACCCCAGGAATGACAGAGCAATGATTTGGATATGACGGGGTCCCAGAAGTCTTCATGGAAAAGATTATTGTGAAGATGAAATAAGATTATGCATGTTAATGGCTTAGTGTAGTACCTGGTACATAAATATGTGCTGTAGTGTTATATAGTCAGTCATTATTATGACTATGCGAATTGGAGTATCACCAAGCCAAAAAAAACCCAAAACACTCAAGTGGATTTTCTTAGTCAAATCTAGTTAAAACTAGATAAATACCTAGCATGGAGTCTGCTGGGGCGGTATAGCTATGAGCTATGAGCTAGGTGATATTTATGTAGCAATATAGTATAATACCTCTACATTTGATTTAATAGAAAATGTTAATAACAGTCTTTCCGTGCACATATTTATCATACCAGGTTATTGTTTTCTGTTTAGTTCTCAAACAGAAGGTTGTTGCAAGGAAATCCTAGATCTGGGGGACACAGTAATAGAAAGGTATTGAAAATGTTCCCTCAGTTGTCATAGGTGGTAAATAAGAAGATTTTTTTCATTATATTTTCAGATTTCATTTAGCATACATAATAGCGCACCTTGTAATTTACCCAAATTTTAGTATTAATCATCTGATTTTGTCAATTAAAATGTGTGCACAATTTTTTCTATTTTTGATGAACATTTTATAATAACTTTTTCTAATCTTAAGTCAACAAATAGTGGAAATGACCGTAAGATAAGTACCTTATTCATGTTGAGTAAAGGGAACATTTCCTGAATTTTTTCAGGTTCAATAATATACTGTTCCGTTGCATGCCAGCCAGTCCGAGTCATTTGATATTTAAATTCATCTACCCTTGCAGGAGTTGTAGCAATTCTGATACTACCTGGCTGATGGAATCCCACCACCTGTTATAATAATGACAATAAAAACACATAAATAAACCATTATTTGGCACTCAAACATGATTCTTCTCCAGCATAGTGAAAATGCAGGTGTACAAGAGACTTACCATGCAGTAAAAGAGAAAACTGCATAAACATATTTGCATCTTACCAAGAGACATTCATTCATCAACTATTTACTAAGTACCTGCTCTGTGCCAGGCACTATGCTGAGCCCCAGAGATGCTGTTATGAACAAGAGAGGCATCCTGCTTGGATGGAGCTTACAGTCTACAGGTGAAGGCAGGCAGTTCATTACAATACAGTAACATGAGATAGTATTAATATACAGAGAAAAAGAGAAAGACAAAGGATTTGAGAAGAGAATATGAAGAATCAGAATGTTGCAGTGATGAGATTAAGAGTGAATTGAAATAAACATCCAGTTAGCATTAATCAAAGGCCTTTTATTGGCCGAGCACTCAGCTGGGCCCTGGGTTACAGAGATAAAAGATGCAGTCTTTGCCCTCAGGTTGCTCATAGCCTGTAGGGAAGACCAATCGGTAAGGCAACCACCACCACCACAGAGAGCTGTGTGTTGTGAGAGGGGTATGCACAATATTCTTAGAACCAAGTAATGCGTCCTCAGCTGGGCCTGACTGGTGGGTGGGCGAAGTCAAGGCCAGCTTCTCAAGGGAGATGACCCCCAGAAAAGGTGGAAGGTGAATGCTGCAAGGGGAGCCAGAATTAATGCTTTTTCAGGCAGAGAGCCCAGCACATTCCAGAACTGTGAGTAATTAAGAAGAGCTGAATTATCCAAGCATAGCAAGGAGCAGCAAGAGAAAATGTCGGAAAAGCAGGCAAAGCTCCGCTGCTGAAGGTCCTCCTCTGTCCTGCTGACCGTGGGGAGCCATTTGATATTAGCCTATGGACATTCGAAGCCTGCCACCTTATTCTGAGAGCACTAGTGAGTATGGGAAGAGATCAAAATAAAGAGGGGGCTTTGGGGGAGTACTTTTCAAAGCCGTGGGACAGTATGCCACGCACTCTTTCAGAGCCTTGTCATCCAGTTGCTCAAAGGCCCTAATTTCTTAGTTTCTAAATATAGTAGTGGACTAAAGATATTTTTAAAAGCTGCTGCTTTGTATTCTTCCTTCATTAAAAAAATCAAGAAGAGTGGGTAATTACATGGATAATACACTTTGAGAAATTAAACTGATTGTAGAGCAAACTTCAGAGGTTCTTGCCTTAAACTCTCATCAGATTTCTCTATCATGTTAAACATTTCACATGCCCTTGATGTCGCTACACATGATACCAAACCCTTCAGAGAGCTTACATATTTCTATGAAACTGACCTAAAATACATGTCAAGTTAAACACATTTACCTGTCCAGTTTCTTCTTCCAGTTTTTCATAAAGTTTGATGCTATCATAGTGTATTTTCTTCAAGTTTATTCCAGGATGAAAGTAAGTTGTTAAACCTGCCTTAAAAGTGAGGCGGAGAAAAAAAAAAGTGATCATTCTGAAAATGTTGACAGCTTATCTGTTAAGCAGGAATTTATTGCTGACAAGAAATGGGGCAGCACCTGCCAACCCCGCAGGATGAGAACACATCAGCACCAGTTCTAGCAAACCCAGAGCATAAGGCTTGTGACACAGTTATAAGACCAGTTTGAACCATATAAGTTATGTCAGAGCCAGCCAATGAACATATATATTAAGTCCCTAAAAGTTATTAGGGAAAGTGTTGTTTGAACATTCAGAAAAGGGATGATCTGGCAGGAAGTTTAGGAACATACGCTCTGAGGACGAATATGGGGGGAGGATCTACAGTGTGGACTCACCCAGCAAATCATGTGTGTCTCCTTAAGGAGAAGGACTATAGACAAGCAAAGAGCTTTCCCGAACCCAATCCCCACCATTCCCTTGAATGGAGCAGCCCTCCTGTTCCCTTTGAAATGTCCAGAATTCAAGAATTGGAAAATTCCTGGAAATTATAGCCTGGTGAATTGGTGAACAGACTTTTGTCATAGCTTTACTGGTGTGATGAGCACATAGCTTTACCCCACAAATACTTGCTGAATAGATACTGAGTAATTACTCTCAGGAAAAATATATCTAAATATTAGCATACCAAAACCCCTTTTATCAACTCAGATGCAATGTAGTATCCAAAGAATTCTAAGCATTTCTATGAAGCAGGTTCTTTCAATGAAATGTCTAGGGCTTCAACTTGTAGCTAATGTATCCTGGAAAGTTCATCAGAATACAATCTGCTCTAAATAAAATCTATTTAGGAGTATTTATATGGTTCTTCTATGGTAGTGGTGGGTATTTGGTTCTCCTGAACTCCAAAACACCCCATTTAAAAATTCATCAATTATTCTTTAGGGACTAGAATCCTCAGGCTTCTATCAAGTACTTGTTCAAGCATTTGGACATACACATGCTACTTTTTTGAGAAAAATCCTGGCCTAGCTTACAAGCCCCCTCATAGCACAGCCCCATTACGATGGAACTAGAAGTCTAGCTCCTTAACTTTCAGTCAAATGCTCTACTCTCCTTTACATGCGTGGTATCTATTGTGCATAGAGCTTTTCTAGTTTAATAATAGAGAATTCCTGGCCTTCGGGTATCTGCTAGAGAACTCAATTTTGTCTTCCATGTAGTTTCCATCATTTGAAAAATTTGATATTTATGAGCACTGACCTAGAATTCTGGTCACCATATACTCCTCAAAATTCTCTAACTTTAACCTAGGTTAAGCCAGACCACCAGAAAGTTGTATACGATCTACACTACATCAACCTTCTTCTTCCCCACCCTAGAAAGCCATTTTCATAGAAGGAGTTAGTGATCTTTCATTTGAAAGTGTCACATGGGTCAGTTTATATAAAACTGTTATTCAAAAAATTTAACCTAATATTTTTTGTTTAGGGAACAAATTCTTCTAGAAAGTCCTGGTCAAGGAGAAGTTAGTCTACTGTAGTGAAATAGTGTACCTATTTCTCCTGAAAACTCACACTACTCTAGTTTCCTTGCTTCTAGGACAATCAGAAGTAAGTCTTGAGCTTAATTTTTTTTGCCAGGCATAAAATTATCTTATTATTTTTTGTATCCTATATATATTTTATTAACTGGATTTTGTCTTTTAATCAATATTTAAAATTTAGGGTCTTATTGTTTTTATTGTAAGCTATCTGAATGTAATATCTTACATGGTATTTACTGTTATTTATGTAAAATGTTTTTCTGTTATGAGCTTCAGTAAAGTTTATTAAATGAAAGTTTGAAGAAGGAAAAAACATTGTTCTTATCCTTCAAGATTTTATGATCTGAATAAGATCATGAAACTTTCATACATGAAACAATCAAATCAAAAGCATATGATTAAGTGCCGGAACGTAAAAAGACATAAAAACTAAGAGAAGAGAAGATGATGGAAGGGTCACAGAAATCTTTAAGGAAGACAAGAAAAGGCTTACATTTGATTTAAAGAAAGAAAATAATTATAGAAGATAAAAGAGGGAAGTTGAATCAGAGATATGAATAATCACTAGACACTATAGCCCTTTGAATAAAATAAGAACTTATGAATCCTTATTGATATAAATAACTAAATAAAAAGGAAAGCTCTTCCATTTGGTAGATTAACAATAATAAATTAATGAAAGGAATGATGGAGTTACAAACATTATCAATTGAGCTAGTGATGCTCTATCTCCTTAATAATCCTCCCCCCTCTTTAATGAGCCTCAACAGCCTCAAAAAGCCCATTGACCAACCTCAAGCCATTCTACATCCCAGAGGCTCCAAATCTTTTATCCATGTACTCACATCCAATTAAAAAGTTTGAGCATACCCTCTAAAATATGTGTACTTCCTGATTTCACATGATATAGAAATATGTATCACTGCTCTGGCCAGTTTGGCTCAGTGGTTGGAGCATCGACCTGTGGACCAGAGAGTCCTGGGTTCGGTTCCTTCTAGGGGCGCATACCAAAAATAAAACAAAACAAAAAAAGAAATATGTATCACTAAATTAACAGAGATTATAACATATACAAACCCAACTTGAAATGAATTAAATATTTTAAATAATTATTTTGTTTACTATGTAGAAAAGCTTTGGAATATTAAGTTTATGTATTGGCAAGGGCTATGTGATTAATATACTTTATTACTAAAATATGTATATTGGATTAATCTTGGTAAAACAGCAATCTGAAGACCTATCTCTTAGGTTTGTTTTATCTGAGACTGGTTTGAATGGCTGAGGTAGCTGGGGAACCCACCTGCTATTGATAAGGAGATCTAATTGGGAGGAGAGCACTCTCTGGGCTGTGCTCTGTAGCTCAGCACCACTGCCTCCCTCCCAATCACCACCGACCGGAAGGTTTCTGTTGAAGTTCGGCTATGAATGTTTCATGTTCTCTTGTTCATCAGTTGTTGTTACAAGCTAATTGGAAGGCAACACATTTTTCCACTTTAAATGTGTAAAATCCCACTGAAACTCCTCATTTTAAATGGGTTAAACATTTAAATGGGTTAAAAAAAACTTAACTTTTGCGAATATAAAAGTTTTTTTAGGTGATACATATCATTTTGGCCATAAAAATTTAATAATAATGTCAGCATTTCCAAACATCCTTTTTCAACATGCTCTCTTCCCAGCAGGATTGTTTTGCAAAAAGGGTAATTATTTCTCACTTATTGTAACATCACCTTCACTGTGAAAGGATACAATGCATCTATTTTTTAAATATGTATCTGCTATGTAGAAATGACCTGCAGCCATGTGCATGACCTACAAAGGTCACCAAGTTTAAGACACTGTCTTTTAGTAAAAGAAAAACTTTAAGTTTCACAACTTTTAATTATCATTATGAGATAACCAACAAATCTCCATGTAGTACAACACTCTCTCTCCCTTTTCATCACCTTTTAAGTTATATTACTTAAAGCCCTGGTTCCATAAAGTGAACCACAATGATGATATCCTACGGTATGTGATCTGCAGCATGCCCCGCCAGACTGAAGACAAAAGGAGAAGTGAGGAGACTCCCATTGTACATTCCAACCTCCCCCTTACACAGTCCCTTGGAATCATATCCAACCCATCACCTGCATCAACGGTGAGGGCTATATATAAATACTGGTAAAGCTTAATTTCTTGTTTACATTTCTAGATCAAAATTAATAGGGGGTTATAATATCGTCTTTCTACACCCCAAATGGATCACCTTGCATCTTTAGTCCTCAACCCTCTAAAACTTCCACTTTCTTACCACCCCCAGGGCAGCTCCAGAACGGCGTCTCGCTCAGTCCTTCCCCCTCCCCTCCATCCCACAAGAACTGCTCCATATTTGTAGTGTCAGGTGCCCACAAAGAAGCTTCATTGAAATATAGCAAACCCTCGGGATTTGTGGATTTTTGACTCCACTTTGAATACTCACACTGCAAGCTGTGCTCCTCCCTAAGCATTGATTCCTACACTCCCAGGCCCCTTTAACCTGAGCACGTGTTATACTTCAGTGAGATTGCCTTTATTTTTTGTAGGGCTAGAAGGGCGGTATTCTTCCACCTTCTCATATCTGCTCCAAATACTTCTCTGTGTTAAAATTCCTAATACATGGGATTTTTTGTCATGTTACTCCTCAGAGGGAAGCCTCCTTGACTTGCAAAAATCTATAGAATCAGCTTCTGAGGGCAACCCTCTTTTCTTTTCCTTCAATCCTGGGGTAGGGGCGGTGGGGTGGGGGTAAATTACCTGGCTTCTGATACCTGACTCCATCTTGAACTCACACTGCATGAATCTCATTTTGTAAACCATCACATACTACACTGTTCACAAACCAGGATAATGCCCTTTCCACTTACTCGGGTATCTCTTTGCATAAGGGGAATTATTTTGCACAGTTAACATTTAACAAGAAACTAGCATATTAAAAACTTTGCCTACCTTTCTTAAAAGAACTTAGACTAAAGGTATGTTGCTTTATTTAAATTCTTGAAGATGTCTCAGAAGTAAAATCGCAGGGAATTTGGTAATCTATTCTAAAATGCAGGCCACATCAAATCAATCAAATATAAATGAGCAAATAAGTAATTAAAATATTAAAGAGTACATTCTCCTTAACAATCTAAAAGTATTTAAGGGATGTAAGTCCTCCCTCTTACGATATTTCCACGTGCGTCGATTTCCCTCTGCCTACACGCTCTCACGGGGCAGCCTCACAGCCCCTCGCTCACTCACTTCCGCCTTGTCTCTGCTCTTTGAAGTAGCCTCCTGACTCTCCATCTCCATCATTCTTTATCCCTTGACCCAGCTTTCCAGTTCTTCACGGTACTGATTAGTCTGATGCTACTTGTGTATTTTCGGTCTGCCCTACCAGAATGCGCCTCAGAGGGCAGGGACTTGGTTTTGTTCACTGCTGTGTCCTCCCCTAAACCAGTGCTGGCTTGACACAGTATAGGCTCTTAGTAAACATGTGTTGAAAGAGTGACTGAATGTCCAGCAAGGAGAAGTTATAGGAGAGCTACAGCAGAAATGCAGGCTTTCTTTTCCATGATAGCAAAAAGCCTACATAGAAAGTGTTCCTCAGGGAGGGTAGAATAGCCAGGGGTGTTGGCGGCTTCCTGGACCCCCCTCTCTAGGTAGCTGAGGGGAAACAGGGGAAACAAAAGACAAGTGTGCCTGTGAAGGTTCTGAAATTACACTCTAGGTGCCTGGGCCTCTCTCCTGGACTGGGGGGTGATTGGCCTGGAGAGAGAGGAAAGAGGGAAGAGGAGATGGGCTTGATACCATTTTTTTTAATCCTCATCCGAGGGCATTTTTGCATTTATCTTCAGATAGAGCAGGAGGGAGAGAGGGAGGAAGAGAGAGAGAGAAACATCGAGAGGCACATGGAGCAGCTGATCCCACACGACCTCAACCGGGCCGGGGACAAACTGCAACCGAGGTACGTGCCCTTAGCGGAACCAAACCCAAGACTCTCTGATCCTCAGGCTGATGCTCTAACTGCTGAGCCAAGCCGGCCAGGCCTTGATACCATTTTTCTAGGGCCCTTCATTCAATGTGGTCGGGCCCTGTGGCCACTAGGACTTGGGGCCAACTGGTTTTAAATCTGGGCTGCACTGCCCTGGTCGGTTTGGCTCAGAGGTTGGAGTGTCGGCCTGAGGACCAGAGAGTCCCAGGTTCGGTTCCCGCTATGGGCACATACCAAAAAAAAAAAAAAAAAAAAAAAAAAAATCTGGGCTGCACTCTCCCCAACACTCAACTAACTAGAGGCAGGCAGCCCTTTCGGTGCTCAGACTCTACCCTACACCTTGAGCACGTTCTGGATGTCAAAAGGCCCCTCAAAGTAGGGTTTACTCTTGTCTCAGCAGAAGAAAGCTAGTGACAGTAAGTTGAGCTAACACAACCAACTCTTCCTCCAAAAGAAATCTGTACTGACAGTCGTAAAACCTTCCTCTCCCCTCCTTATTGGACTTCAGAAATAACTGGTCTGACAGCATGAAAGCAGTGTCACTCACCCCATTACCCTGAGCAGCTTCCCATTTCACCCAGTTATTGTGTAGCAGTGGAGCAAGTATGCATATACCATTAAATGTGTTTTATTTAACACAAAAGCAGTCACATGTTCTCAGTCCTCACAGTTAAGTCTTCATGTAGCCAAGCTGTTGTCTCACAACACAAAATTAAAATAAATAAATAAATAAAACGGACCTCTAAAAACTAGGTGAGAGCAATATCGGTGGAGGTCTCAGCCATGTTCAGGATCACACAGCCACTGTTCTTCGGTACAAAGGGCACCATTAACTAGACACTTACCGTGTGTGTGTGTGTGTGTGTGTGTGTGTGTGTATATCTTCACCCAAGGACATTTTTGCACTTATCTTCAGATAGAACAGGAGGGAGAGAAGGAGGAAGAGAGAGAGAGAAACACTGAGAGACACATCGAGCGGCTGCCACCCACATGACCCCAACCGGGGCCGGGGAAAAACTGCAACTGAGGTATATGCCCTTAGCGGGAACCGAACCTGGGCCTCTCTGGTCCTCGGGTCGATGCTCTAATCACGGATCCAAACCAGCCAGGGATTACCATGTGTTTAATAACTTTACACATATTAACTCAATCTTCATCATAACCCTAGCCGGCAGGTACTATTAATATTTCCATTTTACACATCAGGAAATGGGAATTTAAGTAAGTTGCCATAAGTCACATGTGTAGAAAATGGCAGAGCCAGGATGTGAATCCAGAGGCCATGTGTTCCAGATAAAGACAGTGCTGATCACAGCCTGGAAGTACGCCAACCAAAATAGAACTGCCCTTTCTAACTCATTGAAATGGAACTCACTCTAAAGAGCCAGCAGTGGGGTGTTGTGAGTGGGAAGGAAACCGACCGCACTAGTGCACAATTCAGTGTGTGGGACAGCTCTGAGGTACTTTTCTTACTGCATGCCAGGTGGATCCAGCAGTGAGCTCCGATTTCTCCAGGAGGACCACATCTTTCATCCCTGCTTTGGCTAGGTGATAAGCCAGGCTCACACCAATGCAGCCACCTCCAATGATCACTGTCTCTGCTCTGTCTGTCCATCTTGTTTCTGCAGATACCGATGGGTTGTCTTTTCTGGAAGACAATTAAAAAAAACAAAAAACGGTTGCTCTACTAGGCTGTGGTAGCCATAGGTTTTTTAAAGGCATCTAAAGCCTAACTTAGGTAACCTGGTTGGGGGAAGGAGGAGGAGGCATTTGAGCACCATTCCATATAATTCTGGTCCATTGTAGATAACTAATACAGCTAAAGAACTAAACAGGTGACTTCTTTTTTCCCCCAGAGAATCTAGAGAATATTTTTTCACAGTCTATTTCAAGAACACACTTGTAATCATTTTATTCCATGAAAAACCATAATCATCATGAAGTTTAGTATCCATAAATCTTGGATCACCACCCTCTACTGTTTTACAGGTTGAAGAAAGCCAGCTGGAGTATAACATTCTTCCTTACTTAACTTCCTTTCACCGAGTACATGCTTCTACAATTAAAATTACTACTCAGTGGACTGAGTGTTGTCCTGGAGACTGAGAGTTCTCGGAACATTCCCAGTCAGGGCATGACCAGGTTGCTGGCTCATTCCCCAGTAGGGGGCATGCAGGAGGCAACCTACTGATGTTTCTCTTATATTGATGTCTCTATCCTTCTCTCCCCCTCCTCTCTCTCTAAAGAAAATCAATAAAAACATATTAAAAAATAAAATAAAATTATTGCTCAGTGGTCAAACATATTTTTTGCATGACTGTCTTCCTAGCTGGATTGTAAGCTTCTCCAAGACATATTGTACAAAGCAATGTGCATCCCTGGCCGGTTTGGCTCAGCAGTTAGAGCATGGGCCTGAGGTCCAGAGAGACCCAGGTTCGGTTCCCGCTAGTTTATCCCCGACCCTGGTTGGGTCGTGGGGATGGCAACCACTGGATGTGTCCCTTTTGCGTCAATGTTTCTCTCTCCCTCCCTCCTTCCCTCCCTCCCACCCACTCTGTCTGAACAAAAAATGGAAAAATGTCCTCCGGTGAGGATAAAAAAAAAAAACAATGTGTAAGTAAGCCACAGAAGAACATATATACACCTGTGTTTGTAGACATAGATCATCTCTGGGTAGATACAAAAGTCACTATAACAGATGACTGGGGAAGGCGGCTGGAGTTGGAGAAACTTTGCACTGGGAACCCTTTGATCCTGTATCACTTTGCGCGGTTGTTCATGGAGAAGAAAACAGAGATCAGGAAGAAATCCGAATGCCCTTTATTCAGAAGCCAAAGCACCCCTAAAGCCCGAGTCTGCCTCAGCCTCTCACTCCCACCCTGCAGCCGCCAGGCCTTTGGCTTCTCAGTGGCCAGGTTCCCACTCACCCTCGGAGGTCGCTGGCAGAGCGTGGGGAGCCAGGCAGCCGTAAACCCCGCAGCGGAAGGCCCCGCAGCCGCTGCGCGCCCGGGCGGAGCATGGCGAAGCGAGGGCTTGGGCCCCTATTCCGAGGCCAAGGCTGGCCGGCTGCCTGAGGCGCTGGAGGATCCTCCCTCCGAGAGGGGCGGGCTCCTGCACAGACACGCTCCGTGCCCCCAGGGGCGTCAAGGCACCCGTTGGGGCCCCCGGAGCCAAGAAGGTGAGTTTTCCAAAGTCCGGACTACTCGGTCAGCCCCCTGGCTGCGGGCTCCCCGTGCGGGTGTTCAGGTCCCGGGGAGGCCAGCCAGCTCTGCGGCCCTGGCACCTGGACGGCCCTGGGCCTGGTGGCGAGGCCGGTGGCGATATGTCGTGGGGTGAGGATAAGATGATAAACCCCGGCACCCGTCTTGGAGCCAGCCGGCACCGCGCCAGTGCTTTGCGCAAACATTCTGCTCCTTCGAAAGCCTCCCTACTTTACAATTGAGAAACTGCGGGCCGAGAGAGAGAGGGAGGGAGGGAGGGAGGGAGAGAGAGAGAGAGAGAGAGAGAGAGAGAGAGAGAGAGAGAGAGAGAGAGAGAGAGAGAGAACGAGAACTAGTGCGGAAGCAAGTGGGGTCGGAGCCTTGGGGTCGGAGCCTTGGGACCGGGAGGCCGAGGCCGCACGCATATTTCCTCCGCTCAGCCCGCCTGCAGTCTGGCTGTCCCTGTCCCCGGTTGGCCTGAAACCAGCTTGGTGCAGACAGTGCCAGACCTGCGGGGGGTGGAGGCAGGGTGCATGGGGACCCCTCCGCCTCATCCCACCCCGAAGTCCCTGTCTCCGCCAGCTCTTGGCTTCGTTCACCCATTTCTCTCTCTCTCTCTCTCTCTCTCTCTCTCTCTCTCTTCTCTCTCTCTCTCTCTGTGTGTGTGTGTGTGTGTGTGTGTGTGTGTGTGTGTGTGTGTGAGTGTGATGGGAAGGAGGAGTGACAAAATAGGAAGGGCTTGAGTTTGGATGGGGAGGGCATATCCAGGACTTCTCAAAGCAACCCACCTGAACCCCCAAATTCATAAGAGACTGTAGGGGAAAATGGGATGATAGGAACATGAAAATGTGCACCACCAACTTATTTATACGAAAAAGTTAGGAACAATCAAGATGTCCTACAGTAGTGGGCTCCCTAAATAAAGTAAGTTCCATCCACGTGGTAAGATGTTAGGCAGCCCATTAAGGAGCTAAGTATGGAAGCAGGCAAAGGGCTCTGGCAATGTGAATTTACAAAAAGAGATTGTACCACCAACTGATCGCAACTACATATATAAAAATACTTATATACACACCGGAAGGACAGACACAATAGTGGTAGTAATTACACAAGTGAGGAATATGGGTTTAAAAATCTTAAAAACAATTTGAACATACTTCTCTGATTATAAAGGTAAAAATATGGACATTGAAGAAAATGGACTTAATAAAAGCATAAAGAAGCAAAGAACATTGTGGGTATTTCTTTCTTTAATACTATGTTCTCTTTTACAGTTCATTTTTTTAAGGTTTTGAAAATATGCTGTCTCTGTTCAATTTCTTCCTGGCCTCTACTCTTGCAACACCAAGCTTATGATATATTAATTAACCCATGTTAATGTGTACCTGGGAGTTAAAATTAAAATGTTAGTGAGAAGGCATTATCTCATCTTTTTTCTCAGCTAACAGGCACATTTTAAGCGTCCATTTAATTGCCACCAAGAACATCTCCCATTGTATCTTTAATCTAAAAGGGCAGTCCCTGCTCAGCCGGTGTGGCTCAGTGGTTGAGCATCGACCCATGTACCAAGAGGTCGCCAATTCAATTCCTGGTCAGGGCACATGCCCAGGCTGTGGGCCCAATCCCCAGTGGGGGGCATGTAGGAGGTGGCCAATTGATGTTCTCTCTCAGCAATGTTTCTGTCTCTCTCTCCCTCTCCCTTCCTGTCTCTCTCTAAAATCAATAAAGAGAAAAAAATAAAATAAAAAAATAAAAGGGCAGTTCTAGTGGCAATTTTCAGGCACATGGGGTGACAGTTTAGGCAGATTGAATCTCTGGCTGCCTCCTGCCACAGGGTGAAGTTGGTGGACTCCTTTGTGTGTAGCTAGAGGTGCACTGAAGCCAGATCTTAAACCCAGAAGTCCAGATACTGATATCTGCACAAAGGGGCACAACTGTCTCTCAGAGGTCACTATCAGGTCCCAGGCAGATTCACCACCAAACTGAAAGGGAGGATGGAATGAAAATATAAATGTGCTGCAAATTCGCCTCCAGTGTTCTTCATTTCACCCTGTCCTGTCATTCTGAGCTGTCTTTTAGATCATATCAGTACAGTAATTGAGGTGGTGCGTACAGCAGTGAAGGAGGGGCTAAAAGTTGCTCTGAGTTCAAATCTTAGCAACTAGATTATTTTTCTAAAGGGGTGGGGGAATTGGGGGGAGGGGGACATCTATAAAACTTAAAACAATAAAAATTAAAATATAGCCTGGCTGGTGTGGTTCAGTGGTAGAGCATCAACCCATGCACCAGAGGTCACTGATTCGATTCCAAGTCAGGGCATGTGCCCAAAGTTGTGGGCCAAATCCCTGGTGAGGGGCATGCAGGAGGCGGCAAATTGATGCTCTCTCTCATTGATGCCTCCATCTCTCCCTCTCCCTTTCTCTCTCTCTCTAAAGTCAATAAAGAAAAAAATTTAAAAATAAAAATAGAAATAAATGCATCTTTGGTAAACAAAACAAAACAAAACAAAAAATAACTGTCAAAGTTAAAACGTTGGACAAACATCTAAATGACAGATGAAAACATCTTACTTTTATTTGGTATCATGAAGACATAGTAAAAAAATGTACTATAATTTTCTTAAAATCCTATCTAATATTCTGTTAAAGAGTATCATCTACCTGCCCCACCACCCCAGGACCAAAGTTGTAACATATGTGAGACGTGACATTTTCAAAACAGCCTTGTCTGCCTGCGAACTCTGCAGTTTATGAAGGGTTTATTTTTCGCTAGGTGCTATAGGAGGTGGCAGGGATAGCAAAAAGATATGTCACCTGAGTCTCAAACATCTTACAGCCAAACAGAGGAGACAGGTAAGTAAGCAGATACTGCAGTGCAGGTGATGGATGCCGAAATGGAGGGTGTTTGGACTTAAGCAGGACACAAAGGAGAGATGATCGCAGATAAGAGTAGGTCAGGCAAGGCTTTGCTCGGGCAGTAATGGGAGAGAATAGGGGGCTGGAGGGAGCTGGAGGAGATTTCAATAATCCAGGGGCAGAAAGAGGGGGACATATATGAGTGTTAAATAGATACACTTGGTTTGCATGTGGGAAGTGAGATACTCACTTATAACACCTAAACTGTATACCAATGTTTCTTCCCCTCTAAAATTGATGTGTCCTGCTACATTTGATTCTTAACATAGTTAAAGTGTGTTAGCTTTTCAAGGTGAGATTTTATACAGGTGACTATACATCTGATTCTCTCTTCTGTAGCCTCTGCAGCACTCGGTTATTATACTGGTTGGGATGATTTGCTGAACCCCTGGCCTTCCCCAAGGTGGCCAGACTTTGAGCTTCTTTAGGGCATGGACCTTGTCTTATTCCAATATTTATCCCTTCTTGCCTAGAACTGTACCTGGCATGTGGGAAGGTCTCATTGGAAGTTTAAAGCTTCAGTCCTTTTTTATGTTTCCAAGGGCAAAACGAAAAGGGCCAACTGGATTTTATGGAAGGAATAGAGAGATAGGTGAGAATCATGGTAATTATTAATGTTTCTTCCACATTCAGCTGAAATTCATCTTTAGATATGAAATATGAAAATTGACCAGACTTAGGGGCATTCTTTGTCAAACCGTGTGTGTGGTTAACACAGCAGGGCTCCATTCTACCTCCCCAACAGGCAAATGGAGATAGTGTGGATAGGATAGCCTGCACCTGGCCTCCAGAGCATCCCGTTCCGGGGCACCTTTCTGAACTGTAGATGTGACTGATTCGATGGGGCAACTGGAGGCATTTCTCCCCCATTTATGCTCTGTGTCCAGCTGTAGGTAGGGCTGACATGAACTGGCCTTGTATTTTCATCAAAATGTTGTATCTTCAACTAATTCAGTCTATCCAAGAGGGATGGGGGTCATCATGGAAGTGACTGCAGTTGTCACAGGGTGGTCAGGGAAGGCTTCTCTGAAAAGATGACACTTGGCCAAGACCTGAAGGAAGAGAGAGAGCGCCATGCAGGTATCTGAGGGAGGCGCGTTTTAGACAATGGGAACCATAACCCTTAGATAACTGCTCTGGATACAAACTTTTATTCAAGTTATGAGTGGGCTGAAGAGAAAGGCGGTGAAATAGAAAAAGACTAGATTAGGAATTTAGAAGATCTGAAGTCTGCTCTATTGTTTACTTAGCTCTGTGACCTTGGGCAAGTCAGTTAGCCTCTCTGAACCTCAGTTTCCTCATTTGTAAAATTCCCTGCCTAGCTCACAGAATTGTTGGGAGTACCAAATGATAACATATATGAACAAGCTGGAAAATGTAGGGCATGCTTATCAAATGTTGTGTTTATCAGGATTATGTTTAGTGGTTTACATACAAACAAGAGGTGTACTTTTCTCACCTAATAAGAGGTCTGGCCGTCCGTGGCTGCTGCAGGCACTCAAAGATGTCAAGACACCAGTCTGCTCGTATCACCCCACTCCTCCAGCCTCAGCACACGGGTCTAACAGCTTGGCTGCAAGATGACCGCTGTATCTTCAGGGCTTATGCTGACATTACAGTCAGGATGAAAAAAGTATCAAGATGGAAGGGACTGGGCATCTGTGTCAGGAAAGCAACACTTTTCCAGAAATCTTCAGCAGATTTCCATCTATGTCTCACTGGTCGGCACTGTGTCAAATGGCCACCCCTCATTTTTTAAAAGTTGGAAACACTGTCTCCCCTAAACAAAATACATTAGCAAAGAAGAGGAGAGAAAATGCAAATTAGTTAGGCAACTAGCAATGTCTGCCACAAACATGTTGGAAAACCAAAATAACTATTATGGAATCACCACTTTCACTATATTTTGACTCGGAGTAAATGTTACGAGAAACAATGGTCACAGCACTCTGCATAAAACAAGTGCCTGGATTGTCCAAGAAAGAACAGTGTATTCGATCTTTCTGAAATACTATTAGACACTGAAGATTTTAACAGAACGGGAGATGTGAGAACAACAAACTATCTTTCTGAAAATTAGAAACTGCTTTTGGAAAAAAAGAGAAGGGCCTTAGGTGACTTTTCCTTCGTTGTTTCAGGGTTTTCTGGAACGTCTGGATAGTGGGGAGATTGTGGTTGGAGATGACAGTTCCTGATAACTCTGGAGAGGTTGGGCTTCCGGAAGCTGTGGCAGAACATCCAGACACAGGTCAGCGCCTGCACCCCTGAAAGTGTTTATCTGGGTGGCATTTTGAGTACATCTGACCCAGAGCAGATAAAATAATAGCACGTGTGCCCAGCGGTGTGGCTCAGTGAACTGAGCATCGTCCCATGGACTGAGAGGTCCAGGTTTGACTTCTGGTCAGGAGGGCACATGCCTGGGTTGTGGGCTTGATCCCCAGTAGGGGGCGTGCAGGAGGCGGCCAGTTGATGTTTCTCTCTCATATAGATGTTTCTGTATCTCCCTTTCGCTCTCTAAAAAAATCAATAAAAACATTTAAAAAATAATAGCACATGCTTTCTAAGACCCTGTTTCACTTGTCAAAATAGCCAAGATGTGGAGACAGTGAGAGTACATGGGCTGAACAAATAGAAGAAATTGCTCGCATGCTCTCCCTGCCTTCCCCAGCATGCACACACATTTGCATCTTTACATATAGGGAGTGCTGACATATACATCTAAATATTTGTGTCATGAATATTTATCTTGTGGATATTGAAGACTTTCCTTAGCATGGTAATTGTTATTGCTTCAGATTCATCCTTCTAGCTCATTTTCATATTATATTATAACAGTGTGTTTGGTAAGGATGATTAATGGTATCCACCAGAACAACAAACAATAGACAGCCAGGTTCTGTTGCTGCAGGGGGAAGGATGAAGAGATGAACATATTTTCCTCTTTCTACTTTGAAGGCTAACCAGGCCCACTCTAAGCAGACCAGGTAGATTCTTCATGACATTGGAAACTGAATAAGCCCTCCCTAGACCAAGAGCAATTGGCCAACCAAGCTTTAATCTCTGCATGAGACTTCACCAAGCTGTGAGGCCCATCAGCAAGATACTATAAGGCTACTGCAAACAGCCCTGATATGGTATTGGCTCTGCCATGTCCTGTCCTTGAACTTTACTGACCTTAATCTGCATTTTAAAAAAATAAGTACTAGGCTTGAAATTGTGTACGACTGAAAGAGATGTGTAGGTGAGCTGCTGCTAAAAACGATAGCTTCTGTGATTCTTAATGTTTTAATTTCAATTTAAAAATCAACTACTCTATAGTTTTTCAGCTTCAAATGGAATTCTTGAGAGCAGGAGCAAATGTCATGCAGACTTTCACCTTTTCTGCCAGTGAAGAAAACATGGAAAGTAAGGTAAATAGTGGTGCCAGTTGGTAGGTGGACAGAGTGGGGGGTGGGGCAGAGATCATGTATAATAAAAATAACCTCTTGCTGGGAAGCTGTGGAATTGACCTGATGTATTACTATAAACTCCACATAAAATACCGGATAAATAATTAATTATTATGTAGCTGTATATACACTAAACAAATTAGCTTTTTCTGTCTCTTTACCAGGGGAAGGGAGGGCATAGGACTGGGAAAGAATAGGCATTGGAAGGGCATGGCCATTTTTCTGTGCTATTTCTTTTTTTTTTATATAAAGAACACTTTATAGATGTTCTTTTTACCTTCTCTTTTCACATCTTTCTTTTCTGACTTGTCCATCTGGAGACAGGATGGTCCTAGGGAACACAGCACTGGCCTGGGGATGAGAAGCACTGGGTCAGATATCTGACTTTGCCACCTATTGGCTGTGTGACTGTGTAAGACTTAACTGCACGGAGCATTGGTTTTCTCTGCAAAACACAGATAACTTACTCTGCACTGCCTAGGGTTGCTGAGAAAGGCGAACACGGTGAAAGATGTGGAAGTACTGTGAGATATGCTGCAAATGTAAAGTGTTAATACTTACAAATGTTTTTTTAAAATTTATTTTTCTTTATTGAATTGAGAGAGAGAGGAAGGGAGAGGGAGAGAGAGATAGAAACGTTGACAAGAGAGAACATTGATTGGCTGCTTCCTGCATGGCCCCTCCTGGGGACTTGGCCCACAACCTGGGCATGTGCCCTGACCAGGAATTGAACCAGCAACCTCTTAGTACATGGGTCATTGCTCAACCACTGAGCCACACCAGCCAGGCAATACTTACAAATGTTAATGCCCAACCAATCAACACTTACTGAGTGCCTGTTATAGTGCACTCCATATGCTAGATACAAAGATCACACGAAGGCATAGAGCCTATTCTGAAGAGGCTCACGGTCAAGTGTGGGAGGCAAACAAATATGCTAAAATCCAATGTGGTAAGTACGATAATGGATATACAACCTTATTGCTAGTAGAAGAGATGGTACCCAATTCTGCTGGTCTTCTAGAATTGCAGTTAAAACCAGTGACTTCTACTCATCTTACTTGCTTATTTCCCCCTTAGTTTTATCAATTATATTACACCTTTAAAATGCCAGGCTCACAATCTTAATTCTTGCTCTCTAACCTCAGTGGGAAGATGTGAACGCCACTGCCTATGACCTCTCCAGAGAAGTGGCTGGCAAAGGTGATGCTTTGGTAATGGGGGGATCTGCCAGACATCGATATATAAACACCACAAGGATGAAGCAAGAGTTAAAACACCTTTTGACAACAGCTAGGGGTTTTTGCCAGAAAAAAAAAAAAGTGGACTTCTTGATTGCAGAGGTAAGCCTAGTATTATAGGGAGAATGTGTGTTAAACCTATTGACAAGTATAAATGAACGGTCTTCAGCATCCATGAGGGTATTGAATTGCCTTATACCCTCATTTCCTCTGCATAGATGGTCAAAGGTTTATTTAAATGCACTATAGTCAACATCCTTTCACTTGTGTGCTAGGTTCTCTATGAAGCCAAAGGACAGACCCAGGAGAGGTCCAACCGTAGCCTTTGGTTTTCTAAGGTCAGGGTGGTTGCAGCAGCTGACTCTCAGGGGACACTACAACATGCGGTCAGAGAAAGAGGACAGTGATTCATGGAGCACCTTCCTCCAAAGAAGGGGCAGGGGTAGAAGGAGCTGTGTATGGGCTAAAGGCCATGAGGGAACAAAGCTTTTGGGGTGGGTGGCTGCTCAGGCTCCTCCAGCTCCAGCAGTAACCCTTAGCACCAAGTAGCTGACTTGCCCTCTCCCATCCTTGCTCATCCTCGCCTCTCTCTTGTCACTCAAACTGTAACATGTGAGCAATGTTTTGAAGAAAGAAACAGAAATATTGGTCATTGACTAAACATGAAGGCCCAAAACATTGTCTTCCTTCTGTCTCCAAAAGTTAAAGCCTTCATTCAGCATTTCCCATTACAACTGCTAGAGGCAAGTCCTCAACCCAAGTCTTTACCTCAACAAAGACAGTAGCCTACCAACTGCGATTTCCCCAATCACTCCATTGAACCTATTGAAAACCTGCTTCTTCAGCCTTCCCATGGCGCAGGGCCACTCCGGCTGACCCACCCGGAACGATCATCAGCAGAGCAGAGCACGGACTCCACCCCCATGTTCTCCAGATGATGGGAACACCAGTCTGTTTTTTAAGAACCTCTTTTGACTCTCTCAGTGTGCCATTCCTCACACACTGCTTCTGCAGAATCTGTTTCCAAGCTGAGACAGAAGAAGCAGGGAGATTTCTGCTAGTTTTTTTCACTGAAGTTCAGCTTTTGAGCTGTGTCACTTAAGCAGCCCCTGAGAAGCACCCCTGCAAATGTCATAAATTTACCAGACAGGGTGTCCTGTCCACCATTCACAAAGAAACTCTTTAGCTATCCCTCCCCACTCTGTGCCTCAATGTCTTCATTCTGGGGCAATACTCATATTTCCATTCCTTCTTTATGGAACACTTATGAATATCTAACTAGAAGTGAATATAAAAGCATTTTGAAGTAGTAGAAAACGTAACAAACTATTCATTATTACCCCAGTTCCATAAAAGATGAGTCCAAAATTTATTAACTTTGCTTCTTCAAAACTATGATTTTAAATACTCAATTACTTTAAAAACTATTGTGTTTTATAGATGCTATATGAATGAAAATCTATATACAGGGTGTGGCAAAAGTAGGTTTACAGTTGTGAGTATGTGAAAGGGTTTATTATTGTATTATTATTTATTAATTATTGCATCATTTTCCATATGAACAACTGTAGATCTATTTTTGTGCACTCTATATTGTTTGTTTTTATTGTCACCCGAGGACTTTTTTTTTTTTGCATTTATCTTTGGATAGAGTGGGAGGGAGAGAAGGAGGAAGAGAGAGAAACATCGATGTGAGATAAACACATTGACTGGTTGCCACCTGCACAACCCCAACCTGGGCCGGGGACAAACTGCTACGGAGGTATGTGCCCTTAATGAGAACCGAACCCAGGACTCTCTGGTCTGCGGGCTGACGCTCTAACCACTGAGCCAAACCAGCCAGGGTTGTGCACCTATATTGTTAAAGGAATTAAAATACTTACTTAGAAAAATATTCTTTAGTCAGTCTGATAGAGACACATTCCTTGGCAAGTTTTATTACATATTATATACTTGGTTATTTTTTTATAACTAACTGTTTTGCAACACCTGCATTCTACCACTCAAAATCTCCTTCATATTTGGACCAACAGAGAACAATGAAATTTCCCTTAGTCTTTTGACGTGTGGGCCAGGGAAGTCTTAAAGGAATCTGGTAAACCTTGGCAGCTACTATGTGCATAGGCCCAGAGGGAGACAGGCATGACGGAACACCTGGAGAATGTGCTGCTAGGCTGGTGAAAGCAGGTAATTTGGACTCATAAGGTAATAAGCTGCTCAGTTGTTGTTTATAATATTTAGCAAAGTTTGGCTCAGTGGTTAAATCACATAATCTTCCCCTCTTCTTTATTCTCCTTTTCCCATTTTGACTTATTGCATTTTTATTTCTTCTGTTGGTTGTCTTTATAAGTTTGGATTTCATATTTAACCACTTATCTCTTACTCTATCAATATGAGGCAGTATATGTTAACTCCACTCTTTGTAAAATAAGAATTGACTCCTGCTTCCCTCTACTTTTCCCCCCTCACCTACTTCTTGGCTTCTTTAAATTATACCATTACTTTTATATCATCAAGATTTGTAACATTGTGTTCTGCTCTGTAATTGTAGTTGTCTTCCAAAATTTGTCTGTAGGTTTATTATAAAGACGTAAAACTAGTAAATAAAATTTATAATATTATTATAATTGTCCTACTAAACAAACAGAACTCATAAATAAAAACCAGAACACAACTTTATTTTTGTCTCCCTCTATCTCTTTAATCCTGCTCAGGGGGTGACTCCTTTCCTGTCCCTGTTTGAAAATACTGACATGACCCAGGGCTTCTTTGGGTAGTTCCTCTTAGGCACTAGGAAGCCCCACAGTCACTGGTGTTAACTAACACAATGTCAATTCAGTAACGAAGTGTTCATTTCCATATGAAATCAACCCTTCGGACATGTTTCAAACTTAAAACTTCCCCTTTTTTCCAGAAGACGACTCTTTCTTGGTCTTATGCTTCCAACCCTCCCTTCCCAACTTGGTAACCACAGTGTCTGAGTTCTTCAGGTTCAGAGTAAGAGGAGAAAGGATAGAGAGAGGGGTACACCTGCTATTACTCGACTGGCACCTCAGTAGGAAGACCATGTTCTCTGGGCAGATCTTCCTGAGCACCTTTGCCTGCGGTTCTCACGCCAGAGTCATTGCATTTTCCGCTGACTGTGCTCCCCTCAGATCCTGGCTTTGTCGGCAGGTCACTCTAGATATACCCTATTTTGAGGGTCCCATAGTGCTTCCTGGTGATTCTCATGGGCCTGATTTTAAATACCTCTAGATGGGCTCACTCTGCTCTTATTAGACTCAAAGCTGGCTAGAGGCCCTTTCACCTTTCCTTTATGCAGACAAATTCTGAGAGGGTGGTCCGATCCTGACTGAACTGCACCCTCTTTGCTCACTAGCTAAGTGGCTGGCCCATTGGTCTCTGTGATCCAGATTCTCCAGTGTCAAGGCAGGTGAGTCATCTGACTGGCTGTTGGCCACCTACTTTGAAATGTCTGCAGAGCATCTGTCTTGCCTTAACACCTGATATCTATCCTATCTTGATGCCTCCAGTAAAATTTCCAACCTCCTATCCTGGTACCCTGGTAATGATTTTCTGATTTTTGAAACATTATTCCCTGCAAAACCAAGTGGTAAGCATGGAACTATGGAGAAAGCGATATAATCCTATTTTATGAAACTCAAGCCACTTGGAGAATGTTCCAAGCATCAAGGGCAAATTGATTTTCTTCTCTTACCTTTCTTTCATCTGTAGTCCAAATCCATATCATATTTTAATTTACTTCATACTTGGACTGTGATTTTCTTTGTACAACATTTGTTTTTCTAGAAATTTCTAATTAACTTCCCTTTACATTGTTGAAAGAAGAATAACAGGCCTTTGCTTTCTCTACTGTCTTCTTATTTCTAAATTATTCTATTTGTTACAATCAACCCACTTCATCATTGAAGATACTCTTTCAAGGGACAGGGCCTAGAATTACTGTTCTGTTTGCATCTCTGACTCTTTCTGTCTCTCTCTCCAATACATCATTCCTTTTCCATCTTTCAAAAACTAGCCACAATCTCTGCTCTTTCCTATTCAGTGCTAGTATATATTTAATTCATTTTGTACGTCTTTATCCATTTCATTTAGATTTAGAATAATCTTCATTTTTGAACTGGAACAACTTTCCTAATGTAAATTTATTTAGATCGTAAAGTAGACAAGAAATCAGTTAGCCAAACATTTCTTTTGGGAAATATGGATACTGATTAGAAAAGATGGCTTTTATAGGTATCATACTTAGGGAAAAGTACTAAATATAATTAAAAGGGGAGGAAAGTATATTTTGGTGATGATTAAAATACTTCAAATAAGTGAGAAACAACTTATTTTAATTATCATTGTGTAGAGGACCTTAAAATGCACTAGCTACTAAAGATAAAACATTATTCTCCAGAGTAAAGCCAGACATTCCATGAACCCTGAACTCTCAAACATACTGATGTTTGCAGACATTTTCGATCACACAGATTTCTGACAGTTTTATCATCCCAACATATTGATTTATTCATTGTTTTGTGAGGGGGAAAAACTGTAAGAATATATTTAGCACAAAGGTCTGTGACCAGGAACCTCTGTGCTCTTCTTTCTTTGTCTAAAACAAGGAACAAACACAGAGCAAGTTATTTGTAACCTGTTTTTAGTTACTTTTTGAATAATTATACTTTGTCTCATTACATTAAAAACCATCTTCATATATTTTGTCATTGCATTAAAACTTGAAGTAGAACAAGAAGAACCCTGCTAGAAATTTCAGAATGAATGTGAGTCTATAAAAGTCAAACACATTGTCTTTTTCTGACAGTGGTATGAAACCCGATGATGGTTACTGAGGATAGAAATTTGAGAAAGACCCCTGGCATGAATGGATATGAACATAGTTATTCTGTCTGTAAGCTGAAACAGAAGTTCTACTTTAGCTTGATCATCCACCTAACTTATGTGTGTTTGTTTTATATATATATATTACACATCTTTAAATTAATTAACTATATATATATTTAAAACACAGGGTAGAAGGAAGTATTGGGAGAATCTGAAGCCAGCTTTGGGCAGACCTTTCTGTCCTTCGTTGTCAAAGCCAGATGCCTAAGGAAACAGAACAGAAAGAAATCCCCCTCAAGCCCCATCTGGACTCTTTCCTCGCCTTTACCTTCAGCCCACCCTGGTATTTCCAGCTGCGGAACCGCTAACATAGCGCAGCGGGTTCAGTTAACTTGAACGCGCACGCAATGCCCTCTGCCGTGGTTCAGCGCGGAGCTGGATGCTGGGGGGATGCAGGGGTGATGAGAAGTGCTCCTTATTCTCAGTGTTTACTGCCCAGTGAAACTGCAGTACATTGATTTGAAGTTTATGGAGAATAGCAAAACTTGTCTTTGGGATGAATTAGAGATTGAAAAATAACCAGAAGTCACTGAGCACCAACCTAGTGACTAATTCAGGTGACTAAGCTAGGTGCTTGAGGAAGGAGTGGCATTCTGAACTAACACACTGACTCTGCTTTTCTTAAATAATTTGTATAATGACTCCAAAGGTGATCCCGAAGGAAAAGAAGCAAAACCCATTTTTGAGCAATGGAAGGATTGTTAAAATAAGTATAAACCTTCCAAAGTGATTACTTTTGCAGATGATTTTTTTAAAGGTGTTAGGCTCTAGAATTTTAAAATTGTCTTTATAATCACAAATAGATTACACAGTACTTAGGAACAAGGACCATGTGATATACTTGTTATATTTTTCCTTATAGTATTTAGCATTGTGCTACGCATAATAATAGGTGCTCAAAGAAATACTTATTGTTTAAAATAAGTAAAAGTATCCCTGGCTGGTTTTGCTCAGTGGTTAGAGCATCAGCTCATGGACCAAAGAGTTGCGGATTCAATTCCAATCAAGGGCATGTACCTCAGTTGCGGTGTGGTCCCCGACCCTGGTCAGGGTCGTTCAGGAGGCAACCAATCAATGTGTCTCTCTCACATGGATGTATCTCTCTCTCCCTCCCTCTCCATCTGAAGATAAATGAAAGTATCCTGGGGTGAGGATTAAAAAACATTATTTAAATTAAGTAAAATTAAATAATTTTAGAAGACCTTTTTAAAAGTCAGAGTTTAAATCTATCTTGGACTAATATTTTCTTGATTTATCTTTGTGTTATTTTCTATGTACTGGTTTCTCTCTGTTTTCCAAAATAATGTATCAATTTGTGGAATTTAATAAAAGTAAAAAGAATATACCTTTTATAGTGCTTGAATATTTAAAACTTCGTGACTATTCTTTGAAGTAATAATAACAAAGATTTATTAATTATGCTCCAGGCTCTTGCTTTTCTTTCTGTCTTCCTCAGTGTGAGTGGATGCTCACACAGTAACAGCTTGCTTAGGAGACAAAGAGTAGGTGAAAGGGCAAAGACAAGAGCTAGGGGGCTGCACCCTGAGGGGGAGCCGTCCTTCACTCTGAATCCCTTTCTTGTGTCTGCACTAGTAAGAGCTGAAACCTTCATCCAGTTTCACATGGCATAGCTTAGAAGTGGCATAACAAATAAACAGGTATTACAGATGGTAGGGGATAAGGAAGTATTTTAAAATCCAGGTCCCTTGGCTTACAAACACTGAAAATCATTTGAGGTCCATATTAACTTGTGTTAAGAGCAACTCATTTAGATTTTTATAAAGAGTCAAGTCATCCATCAGCTTTTCAGATTGACAACTGTGACATATACCAAAAAAAAAAAAAAAAATTAAAATATATTCCCTAGAGTTTGTTAGTCATAGGAGTGACATGAATTGAACGATGTGAATAAGGAAATTAATACGGAAAAAGCGAATTTGCAGAAGATATGCAGACTGAGAGTACCAAGAAAAAATGAGACATGGCCTAAAGATGGGCCTAAGCAACAATGCAGGTTGCATCCATTTGATGAAACAGTGTGCAGCCATAGACAATTGTGTTCAAGAAGAGAATTTAATGACTTTTTAATGCTTTGCTTTGATAACTTGTTTGAGTATTCTTGATAAGACAGAAGTTACCCTAGATCGTCTGTTTATAAGCTGGTTTCATTTCGGGTAAGTGAGTGCGATGCCTGGAATGTCGGTGAGATGGAACTTGATAAAACTTCCAAGAGTCAAGCAGGTAGCCAATAAAGGAAACTCTTTAAGAGAAAGATG